CTTCAATGTTTACAGTGTGTAAAGGTCCTGAGATAAAAGTTTGAGAATCATTAATCTAGGTCTGTTCTTTTTTGGGCATGTTTTATTATTTTACATTATCTGACAATCTATGTATGTAGTTAATGTACTATTTCTTCAACTCCTCAGGATGAAATGGTACTGAGTTGAATCAGTGTATGATTTTGCAGTGCATGAAATTCTGCTTTGAAGACTATAAAATTCTTTCCAACTGTAAAACCGAGACTTGCATTTATTTCATAGATGGTTACAAATTTTGTTTTCTAATACATTGCAGAATAATAGAAATGACTTCATGATTGGTATTGTGACTGAACAGTGACTCAGGTGCCTGGAATATTGGCTAGGAAAATTGTTCTGTGACTCTGGGCCACTCAGATTATTTATTTATTTTTTTTTGAGACCCAGCTTTCTTATCTGTGAAGCTAATCACATATTTTTTCCATTGTGACTAATGCAGAGACTAATTTAAATAAATTATTTTTAAAAAGTTGAAATCCCTCCAGGTAATTGGTTCTAATACAGTGTTGCTAAATGTGTGTGTGTATGTATAAGTAAACTGGATAAAAATGCCTTATATAACGTTCATGGGATCATAAAACCAAGAAGAAATTATAAACCAATATGATTCCAAATGGGTACTATCACAGGAGACAATGATGTCTTGCTGAGTTGAAATTTTTGGCAGCATGAACATAAATCCATGCTGGGACCTGTTGCTTTTTAAAAATTATATTTAATTGAAACACAGTAGTTGTACATATTTAGAGGGTACAGTGTGATATTAGCTACCTTACTATATTATCAAATAGTAGAACGTTTTCCTTACTGTAACAGTATTCTTTTTTATTTTTTTTTGCAATTTGTTATATATGACAGCAGAATTCATTATAATTCATATTACACATATAGAGCACAATTTTTCATATCTCTGGTTGTATATGAAGTATATTCACACCATTTGTGTCTTCATAATAAGTATCATATATGTAGTTACGGTAATGATGTCCATCTCATTCCACCATCTTTTTTATACTCCCTTTTCCCCTTCCTTTCCCTCCCATTCACCAACCTTTCCCTAGTGTGTCTCACTGCCATGGGCCACTACCTCTCCATATCCCTAAGGCTCTTTGCAGGCCCAGACTCTGGTACCCATTATTCTATTTTCTGCCCCAGTGAGACTGGCTTACTTAGTGTCCACCTATCAGCGAGATCCTATGCCATTTCTCTTTCTGTTCCTGGCTTCTTTCACTTAACATAATATTGGAGTCTTTCTGTGTGAAGTGGCTTAGGCTGCTTATGACTCAGTTCTTGCAGCCCCGGGTACCAGCGTCATTATGATGTTTCTTGGCATTCCTCTGGAAAGAACACATTGTTTACTTCTTTCATTGAGTCCTGTCCTTTTCTCATCTGCTTGGCAATCAATCTAAGACACCTTCCTGAATTTGATAGTGGAAGCAAACCTAAGAGTGGGTCCTGAAATTGCACAGGAATTTCAGTTACAAGACAGTGCAAAAATAAAGACCCAGACTATATTCTTATTAATTTTTTTTTAACAATTTCACTGAAATGAAAACATGGTTTAATGCATGAAGCACTCAAAGAAAGGATTGCATAATTGAATATCTCCTGGGGCATCCTTCCCATTGCAGTTTATGTAAATGCTGTCCTGGCACTGTGCCCCATCATCCACCTGGCAGAAATAGCTCATAGGGTCTGCTGCCTCTGTTCTAACTTCCCTCCTTTCTGAGACCCCCTCTTTCCCCAAGCCACATTTTTTTTGAAATTTACAAATATATAGAGGGGAAGACATAAGAATTATTTTTACCTATTTCAGATTAACAGATTAACACAGAATTCTGCCTGTTCAGAGGATGAGATGGTCCTCATTATTCATCTAATTGAAATCATGTATGCAATGTATTCTCCTGAAGACATTTATAAACACAAGTGGAATAAGCTGTTTTATTGTGGCCAAGTTCATTGAAATTGTATAGCCCCTCAATTTATTTTGGGGTTGGAATGTATTTTTATGTGGTCCTTATGTCTGTACCTATTTTTGTTTTTAAACTTCTCTTTTGGTACTAGGGATGGAACTCAGAGGTGCTTAACCTTGAGCCACATCCCCAGTCCCTTAAAAAAAAAAAAATCTTTTTTTTTTTTTTTTTTTTTTTTGAGGCAGGGACTTCCTAAGTTGCTGATGCTGCCTTTCAACTTGTGATCCTCCTGCCTCAGTATCCTAGCCCCTGGGATAATAGATATGCACTGTTCCCCTCCAACCCTTTGCCCTGTCTAGCGTTTGTCTATTCCTCCCATGCTCCTGATCCCTATCCCACTGTGAATCAGCCTCCTTATATCAAAGAAAACATTCAACATGTGGTTTTGTGGGATTGACTAACTTCACTTAGCATTATCTTTTCTAACTCCATCCATTTACCTGCAAATGCCATGATTTTATTCTCTTTTATTCTGACTAATATTCCATTGTGTATATATGCTACATTTTTTTATCCAATCATCTATTGAAGGGCATCTACGTTGGTTCTAGAGATTAGCTATTGTGAATTGTACTACTATAAACATTGATGTGGCTGTGTTCCTGTAGTATGCTGTTTTTAAATCCTTTGGGTATAGACCAAGGAGACGGACAGCTGGGTCAAATGGTGGTTTCATTCCCAGTTTTCCAAGAAATCTCCATACTACTTTCCATATTGGCTGCACTAATTTGCAGTCCACCAGAAATATATGAGTGTACCTTTTCCCCCACATCCTTGTTAACACTTATTGTTGTTTGTATGCATAATAGCTGCCATTCTGACTGGAGTGAAATGAAATCTTAGAGTGGTTTTGATTTGCATTTTTCTCTTTATCATTTTTAAAAGCCTTTTCTTGTGAACTGATAGTGCATCTTTTAGGCATAAACACCAGAAATAAGAAAGAAGGGGAAAGGGGAGGGAGAGTAGTGTACTGAGTTGCTTAATAACTAAATAACAACCATATAACTGGAAAACAACAGAGCACATATCTAAATAACTATTGTGATTGTTGAGAGTATTTTAGTCCTCTGCCCTGTTTGATTACTTTTTAGCTTATACATTCATTTGGTGATCCTGGGAATAATTTTTGTTTCCTTCTCGCAGAGAACTTTCCTTGTAAGAGTATTATAATATTAACACACCTAGATTCTTAGATGCATATGATTGTGAATTTGTTTTGATAGTTATTATAATAATATAGTTCTTATTGGTGTATGTATGTATAAATGTATGCATGTAATTTGGTGCAAATTATAAGCAGTGGTGGCTGTCATAGGTCAGACATACTTAAAGCCCCAAAACTTTCCTCTATAATTTTCATGTGTGTATTTCTCCTAGTACATTAAGATAACTACCAACAATTTTTAATTCAGTGATATTCATTTTTTTCTTCTGGTAATGTTGCTTAGGCTATATTATTTTTATCAAATCCTCCTGATGTAGAAGCAAATGTTAAATGCAGTATGAGTATAATATCCTTCTGTTTTTTTTCTGATCATTTCTAATTTGGAGATTCTTGGATTTACAGTGACTGAAATGTAACCTATAAATATATATATAGTCTGATCTTCAAGGATCTTTTTGTCCACACCATTGTTTGTGTCCACACCAATGTTTCCAAAATGTTTTCTCATAGAGTAAATGATGAGCTTACTGCTTTGTCGTTAAAACTATTTTGTTAGTTCATTTTAAAAAAATAAATATTGGACTTGAATTTTATTTTTTGGATATAGATGAAACATAATTTAATGTGAATTTTGTGTCTTATGTTTATTATGTTTTTGAGTGATCTCACTCAGATGACAAATAGGACTTTTGGCTCTGATTCTACCTGCATGAGACTCATTTGCTTTATTCTTCTCTCTCCTGTTTGTAGTTCTGTTCCTGCTCTGCTCTATCGGTGATCCTATCTGCCAAGATGTTCTCAGAGCTACTAATACATGTTTGCCTGAATTTGTTATTGATTTTGTTATAGCAGTTGCAAGTGAACTTTTGTATGTGAATACAGTTGCTCACATACTATCTTTCATGTAACTGTGTATGCTAGTAGTAGAAAACACTTCTTGCATATTAACATAGTACTTTCAGGATTTTGTTTACCTTAAGGTAAACAAGTATTTTTATGTTGTACACTGTCTGATACTATGCTATTAAAAAAAGGAAGCATTTTATTTAATAAAATTATTCAATAGAATAGCTAAATATTATCTAGATTTTGTATTTTTTATTTAGGAGATACAGGTAGGTTATATGCAATTTGTTTTGTTGCTTAGATTTGATTTTTTAATAATTTATATAATATGTTATTTAGAAATATATACAAACAATAATCATTGTTGGCCCTCTCTGTTGGGTATGCATGCACTGTTAGCTCATTTAGTCCTTGAAGTACCTTTAGGATAAAGTATATTATTTCATTGTTAGTACAGTAAAGAGAAATGAGAAGCAGAGGAGAACGGGGTATCCTACCAACAGCCACACAGATAATGATGGAGAAGCCCACATACACGTTCTGGCAGATCTCAGAACTGACCCTGTATCACATCTTCTTCACCATAAACTGTTTTATAGGAACAAGGGAGCTGAGTGTGGTGGCACATTTCTGTAATCCCAGTGACTCAGAAGGCTGAGGCAGGATGACAGCAAGTTCAAAGCCAGCCTGAGCAATTTAGTGAGACCCTAAGAATTTAGCAAGACTCCTAAACCACTTTGGCTCAGTGGTTAAATCCCTGGCACCAAAATAAATAAATAAATAAATAAATAAATAAAAGAAATCAATAAAATAAAGGAACGAGTGGAATTTGTATTTAGCATTCTGAGCTATTTAAGAAGCCACCTTCTATTCTTCAATCTTTGAGATTTAATTACCTTTATCTTAACATACAGTTTTAGACATCAGCATCCACATTTTAAACATAATGCTTTTTTTTTTATTTGTGTTTTTAGATATGCCTCTTCATGTCCGACGAAGCAGTGACCCAGCTTTAATTGGCCTCTCCACTTCTGTCAGTGATAATAATTTTTCTTCCGAAGAGCCCTCAAGGAAAAACCCTACACGCTGGTCAACAACAGCTGGCTTCCTCAAGCAGAACACTGCTGGTAGTCCCAAAGCCTGTGACAGGAAGGTAACCACCTCTCCTTTTTTGCTGCCACCTTTGCATCTCTTGTCTTCTTGGTGTCCATGATAAGTGTCCTGTTGGGTAGACTTTTTGCTCCTAGGGCTTGCTTCCTCTGGCCATTTGTGGATATATTATTGACTTTCACATCAAAGTTCAGACAACCTATTTTGTATCATGCTTGAATTTTCTGATAAAATTCAGTGATAGGTGTAGTATATACTTTTTATTTAGGAGAGTGCTCTCCCAGTTAGCTACATCCCCAGCCTTGTATCCATATTTTGCCTTGATATTGTGTTCTTATGGTTAAAAAGGAAAAGTTTTGGCCAGGTGCTTTGGTGCAGACCTGTAATCCCAGCTTCTGGGGAGATGGAGGCAGGAGGAATGGCAAGTTCAAGGCCAGACTCAACAACTTAGCAAGTTCCTGTCTGAAAAAGGGGGGGGGCAGTGGGTGAGGTGGGATGGGATGGGGCATTAGGGATATAGCTCATTGGTTAAGTGTCTTTAAGTTCAATCCCCAGCACCAAATAATATAAAAGAAATAAAAAATTAAAGAATAGAAAAAGGAAAAATTTCAGCATGAAATGTGTACCATGTAAAATCCTTTTCCTCTTTTTGCCTTTGGTCACGTTTCTCTACATAGGTAGCTCCTTTATTTGTTTTTTTTATAAGTTTGTCCTTACAAGGACATTTTACACTCATATAAGGAAATATTCACATTGGCTCATAAGGTACATTAAAACAGTTTTAGCATTATGGACTTTAAGGATGAAAGTGGACTTCGTGGTACTTTATTCTGAATCAATCATTTTTCCCCATATCCCTTTTAGATGGAAGTGAGCTGTCCAGGCAATGTAATTTGCTTCCTTGACCTAATTTACTTGAGTCTTTGACCTAATTTATTTAGTCCAAATAAATATACTTTAGTCTATGTGATCTACTTTTTTAAAATATTTTTTTTTAGTTGTAGATGGACACAATATCTTTATTTTAGTTACTTATTTTTTATGAGGTGCTGAAGATTGAATTTAGTGCCTCATGCATGCAAGGAAAGTGCTCTACCAGTGAGCTACAACCCCAGACCTGTGGTCTACTATTAAAAGTTTATTTTTTATTCCTACAGAAGCATGTCTGTAGCCTTTTTCTTTACCCAGTGAGGTTTAAGTTAGGTTTATTGTTTTCACTGCTGAATCTCTTTAATGGATGTTCCATGAATATCTGTTGAATGATTTAATAAATATTTTTCAATGTTGTCAGTAATTTAACATAATTGTGAGAAATATGGAAATCGTATTAATCACATTAATATCAAAATGGATATAGTTTGAGATTTGCTTCATTTATCCTTTACATCTGTGTAAAAATACCTATTAAATATTTTCTTTAATTTTGTTTTGTGTTTCAACAGATTCTTTTCTATTAGTTCAAGTAAAAAAAAAAAAAGAAAAGAAAAAACACCTGGAATATATAAGTTGAAACTGAGAAGAATGTTCTAGGAAAAATAATGTGTACTTTAGTTTCTGATTTTTTTGTATTAAGAATTTTACTGTTAAGGTCAGTCTCCCAAAATATTTTGTTCTTACAGATTCTATGAGGATCCACTTTGAATTGTTTTCTTTTTAAGATCAGCTAGAAATTTTAGCTGACTCTGTCATGCAGTTGACTATCCAAAGAAGGGGAATCCAATTTCTGAATTGGTTTTATAATACTAATTTTTGTTTAGAATAGATCCAATTTACATGTGATTCACAAATGTACAAAAAAATCAAGTTTGCAATTAAAAAAAATAATTTTAATATTGTTTCCATGAGTTGAAGGATGACATTATAGTAAATATGGTTTTATTTATTTTTTCATTCAACATTTTTGGTATATGAGCAATTTCAGTTATATAGCAAACAGACCAATTTTTTTCAACTTCCCACATTTTTTTTTAAATTTATGCATGATAGTTGAACATAATAATGGGATTTGTTGCTTCATATTTGTACATGCACACAATATGACAGCATAATTTGGCCAGTATTGCTCCCCAGGTGCTGGTCTCTTGTCCCTCTCCTCTACTGATCTCCCTTTGATTTTCATGAGATCCCTGTTCCCACCTTTCTTTTCCTTTTTCCTGTCTAGTTTCCACATACGTGAAAAACTTAGAACCTTTGACCTTCTGAGTCTGGCTCATTTTTCTTAACATAATGGTGTATAGTTTCATTCATTTTCCTGTAAATGACACAATTTCTTTTTTCTTTGTGGCTGAATAAAACTTCATTGTGTGTATATCATTTTCTTTACCCATTCATCTGTTTATGAACCCCTAGGCTGGTTGCATAGTTTGACTATTGTGAATTGTGCTGATATATACATACGTACACAGTGTAAATACTGATGGGTGATACAGCTGTGTTATATGATGGTTCCATATCTAGTCGTTTGAGAAATCTCCATATTGACTTATGTAGTGGTTGTGTTAATTTACAATACCACCAATAGTGTATAAGTGTAGACCAATTTTTAACATAAAACATTTTGATCATGCATGGAATTAATACTTAATTATTATTATTATTATTATTTTTAACAAAACACTGGAGAGATCACAGACAAAGAAAACTGGAGCAATGCACATTTGGCCTGCCTCTATGAAGAGGCAGGGCTTCAGCCCTCCTCTGGTCTACATGCTGTCTCCAGGTGTGCTAACATTGCCTTTCCTTACCTGGCAAACTGGAGACTGAACCTAGAAAAGCTGTCATCTAAGAAACTTTCTTTTTATGGCTGCCATTAAATCTCATACTTCTGAATCTGAGGAGGTAGAGTGCAGTTTGTGTCCAGACCTTCACTTGCAGGAAAGTCTAAAGATAGAGCTTTGCCTTCCAGCTTCTGAGCAGAGGAAAGTGAGAGGAGGGTTTAGATGCTTACTTTCAATTATCCACATCCACCTCACTGGTTGGGCTTTAAGTAATGTGAGTCTGTCATTGTAAAACACTGGAAAGTAGTCAAGATGAACCAAATGAAATTATCGATGACTATACACCCCAGCAACAAGCAGTATTAAATGTTAGTGAATTTTGTGTGTCTGTATGTGAGAGAAAGGGAGAAAGGGAAGGAAGAAAGGAGAGAGGGAGATTGAGAAAGAGGAGAAGGGAATGGGCATAGCAAAAAGATATATTCTTCCAAGGAATGTCCTCCGAGGCCTATTTTCTCCAACTAGGCTCTAACTCCTGCAGTTTCCACCACCTCAAAATAATGCTGCCAAATTATTATTCTATTACTGGATTAATCCACTGATGAGGTCAGAGTCCTCATCTTCTAATCACCTCCCAAGAGCCCTGCCTCTGAACACTGTTGCACTGGGGACTAAGCCTTCAACACAGGCGCCTTTAGGGAACACTTCGTATCCAAACCATAACACTTATTTTCAGTTATAAAAAGACTTTCCATCTTCTTAATATTCAGAAAGGAGGTTGGAGGAAAGCATACTTGCTGATTAGGCACAAAGCATTAAGTATATTTATTTCTGTAGAGACCACGAGAGCTTACTTATGCTGGGTAATTTGAAGATGTTATAAATTCTCGTCAATTGGTAGTGGTTTAGGTTTTCATACACATAAATTAGTTAAATGTTTTTAGTCTTGTGATTTGTTGATCCTTAATGGTTAAAATCAGTGAAAATTCTCCAATGTTCAGTGTAGAACTTGTCTACATTGTTATGTGGTTTATATTCTTCCACATTGTGTAAGCACAACAAATAATTCCAGAACAACGCACCCATCTCATAAAATTTCTTATTCATGAGCAGGAAAGTTCCATTCTGATATGTTTGAACAACTATTGTTTCTAACCCCCTCTTATGATTCCACCCCACAAAATGAGAAGTAGAATCTTTCTAGTTGAAACAGTGACAATATTTTACTTCACTAAAAAATTGAAAGGCGATATAAACAGACTTTGATGATGGATGGGGCTAAGCCTGCCGCAAGCTTGGAGAGGCTAAGGGTTGTTCTCTGGGCTTGTGGATTTGATAAACTTTTTCATGCTTTTATTTGGGGGCAAGATATAGAGTTCAAGTAGTTTGCTTTCCTTATAGTTCTTTGGGATATTTGCTCATTCCTGTTTCCAGCATTTTGGAGTGGACTACCTTTTCCATTGCTCATTGCTGTTTCCTTTCATTTTGTGGAAAATATCTTGCTAGAAAGCTGTATTTTCATTTGAGATTTTATGTGTGCTTAATATTTCGTCTTTGGAAAGAAAGTTTAGTATTTTTTTAAATTGTAGATGGCCCTTTTATTTTATTTATTAATTTATTTATATATGGTGCTGAGAATTGAACCCAGTGCCTCACACATGCTACGTAAGCACTCTATCACTGAGCTGCAACCCCAGTCCAAGATTTATTATTTTAGTCACTGTGAATACTTAAATCATTTTGTCACCTCTTTGGTCTTCCTTAGTCAGTGTCACAGTGACTGAAGAGGCCAAATCTTGTGTGGAGGAGTCTTTGATTTGTCTCATCAAAAAAGACATAATGAGGCACTTAGCAGAACCAGCTCACCGGGAAGTTCCAAGGATAAAGACTCTGTATTATTTTTACTGATCATTTGTCACAAGCCATTGTTTCTTTCCCCTAAATAATGACAGATGTTGCTTTTCTAAATTATATATCCTCTTTCCTTAAAAAAAAAAAAAAAAACCTAAGTAGATTTAGATTCTACTGAAAAACTGTGTTGACAACTTTCCAAGAGAGATTCTTACCTGATTAAGAGGAAGAAAGAAAACATATTGCATTGACATTACTAGCTTCTTTTTTTTTTTTCCTTTTTCCAATTTCTCAATGAGAGAACTTGGAATATTTTTGTTCCCTCAGGTTTATTATTTTTGTTTGCTTTAGTTGCTTGGTGTATTTGGTGTTTCCAATATCTCCTGATACCTGCACCCTCTTAGAAAAGATACTTTCTTAATTACATCTCTGTCATCTTTTCTTTCCTCTCTTTTAGAAAAGTGGGCTCTACGTTTAG